CACCGCAGCCTGCTCGCAAGACGTCTACTCCCTGCCCAATCTTTAAGGCTACTCGAACGGCAAGGCTTTGCTAAGAGGATTGGGCGCCAGTAAGACCACCCGCATTTAAAATCACCGTACTGCGTTATGGGGTTCGGCTCTAACTTACATTTTCTATCCATGTGTTGTTAAGGTACTAAATTATGATTGTACAGGTTCTACACTTAATAATAAAAATATTAAAAAAAAAATCAATTCAGTGTTCTAGTGATTCTATTTAAATACCATGAAAGCTAAAAAGCGTGAATTGTATTTTTGCAACTGTTTGTAACAGACAAAAGTAAGCATCTCAGTTAAGCTGTCAAGGTCCGGGTAAGTGATTGTTAGGACCTGTAGAAATCTTTTTTTGGACTTAATACCCGGTAAACGTTGGTGAATATCCTGTTGTATCATTTTTGGTTCTATCCTTCAGAATATAGGAGTGCCGACTGTGCCATTTATCCTATTCTGTTCGAGGGGATGCGAACGTCTTCTTAAGATAGATATGATACTTTCTTTCGTAATGCTTTAATGACACATGCACAATGGAAAGCAGGGTTAAGCCTAATCGAAGCAAACTAATTCAAGCAAAACTAAAACAGGAATGTAATGTTATCCAAGTGAATATGACAATCGCCATGGATCGGAGAACTTTATTCCAAAATAAAGGCTTAAGTACTTTGCAGTCTGAGTCATACTAGTCGACCTGCTAGTAGTAATGATGCATTGAACAGCCCACAGGAGTCTCGGCAGCTGCATCGCTCTAAATTAAAGGTGCCTAAGTTATCAGGGAAGTACACTGAGTGGACCAGTTGCTTCAATAAATTTACTATGCTGATAGGGTCGGAAGCTGATCTTAATGACTTTGCCATCCGCTTTAGGTGTCGTTCCATTAGGAACCATTTGGATCCCATCGGTCCCTACGGTTACTCTGAAACCGTTATAAGAATAAGGCAATTATTGTTCAATCTTATATAAATGAGCTGTTTAATCTACAACATGTCAAGTATGTAGAATCGGAAACTCTGAGTGTACTTAATGTAGAGACACTCGATAAGTGGGAAAGCGAATGGGATTGCAAGAAATTACCTTCGTAGCTATTGTTATCGCAATTCTTAATAAATAAAGGCATGAATGTGGCCAACCGAGAAAATCAGTGGAACAGTGGTTCTCAACCCAAGGACTAAAACGTATTAAAGAGAGCTAGCTTAGCAGTAGCAATTAGCAACATTGGCAAGTCTTGTTACATTGCAACGGTTTCAGGAGGTATAAGGAAGTGAGCTATGCCTTATATCCTTAAGTAAGCGGCATATTACGAGGAGTTGCGATAGCCAACGCTGTGATATTCATCGTAATGTCTCGGATAGCATAGGTAACAGTGTGCATAATGGCCAATCACAACTAGGGAACAGTTCTTTACCTAGCGCACTATTACCGCGGTCATCTGTAAGTCTCCTAGCGACCGACGTGGTTCAATCATTGTTGTAGATGTGTATAAGCCTCTGGCAGTCAAACTAACTTTCTAACTTTTACCTTAGTTTCGACTTTGAATCTAGAAATGCGTGAATCAAGTATGCGACTAGTGGCATCGGCAATATAAAATCTCCAATTATGGGTGAGGTGAATGCCACTTTCAAATAACGCAATATAATCCGAGAAGTTCCCCGCTAGATTTGAATTGGCAACCACCCAGAGTAACACTTGTGGATCCGAAATTTAACTATTTTCAAAGAATTTTTATGCTATTGGGAGTTTCTTTATTCATCAAGCCTTCAGCAATCGCTATAAAGCTATGTAGTCGTTGGCGGGCTTACACCCAGTATTGGTGTGTCGCTGCTAGCCAAGGAGAAGGAGCATAATATGCTGAGCTCTAATGAACTGCAAGAGCAAGTTCAACGTTTTTGGAAATGCTACGGAATACCGCAGCATCTTAATAAATTCACAGAAGAGGAAAAACTATGCGAAAAGAGCTTCATTTTTACCTTTGGACAATCTGAAGATGGCCATTTAACTGTAGCACTTACATTCAAAAGTCCCTAAAAGGTACTAGAGGATACATACAAGATAACCCTTACTAGGTTTTTGAATTTAGAAAAGAAATTGAATCGCAATCTCGCTATAAAGAAACAATATTCCGAATTTATTGAAGAATATAAAAATGTAGGCCATTTGAAAATAGTAGTGGTACTTTGAAAATGTAGGTAAAGGACATTTTGTACTTTATGCCCCATCATCCTGTGCTCGTATTTGACGATTCATACTGCATGAGACGGCGTCTCACGATACTATCCCTAACCAAGCAACATATAGACTGGACATCACATAGAAATATCGGTGGCATCTGGTCCAAAAACCCAAGCAAGGGAGTAAGATATACATATGATGTCTTTTTATCCCCTTACATTTCCGGAAACTGCTTGGCTTTATCTCTTCCATATGATTTGTACGATAAATCGGCAATGCTGCTTATTTCAATCTCGCTCGCACTTGCTCTCAGTGCTCTCTCTCCCTTTTAAAGGGACGAGAAGCAAAAAATCATGAAACGGTTTGGTACGTAGATTCTTGCATTTTAGCTCGTTAGTGTTGGTAGGGGTATCTAAATATATTTTCGACTTGCTATTCACGCATACTTGGATATTTTGTATATAGAATAGAAGCATTTATGCGCTTGTGTGCCTGCCTGTCCCCGATGCAAATTTGACAAAATTTTAAAATTTCTGATGGCGGCCGACTTAAAGTATTGAGTGAGTCAAACGCTCTACAACTTTTACGAAGCAAGCAGTGCTATAGGTTTTAGCTCATACGTTCGATCCCTTGCTGTGGTTACTGAAGCACGACTGGGATAATGTGCTACCGTCAAGTTACGCGGTTCAATGGCAAAGATACCGAGTGGAACTGAAGCTCATAAATCAGTGCTCGCTGCCACGATCGGTGGTTCCCATCACGTTTGAGGTGGACTCATTAAAGCTTTTCGGGTTCTCTGATGCATCCGATGGAGCTTATGATGGAGCGTAATAAAGACGGAACGGTTTCAGTGCGCCTAGTGACTGCCGAGCCCAAGTCAAGTCAGTAAGAGCAAGACTTATGGCAAAGGTTATAACTAGTATTGATCTAAAGGTTTCGCAGGCACGATATTTCAATTGTGCTCAACTGGTTGTCATTAGATGCATGAATGCAGCCTTATCTGGGGACGGCCCTGATATTTTGAGGCATCCAGTAGATGATTGGGCTAACTCAATGGCGTTGCATTACCTGCTTTCGGCTTCAACCTGTCTTAAGCAATCAAGTCATGGAATCGCTGGCAGAAGGTCGAGCGCGAGGCAGTAACTACCCCATTCAACAAGCGGGATTAGACTTCGCAGTACCAATTTTGATGTGTATTTAGCTGTGTCCGTATGCTTCCTGACGAAGGCATGTCACATAGAGATCGTGAAGGACTCGAGTTCCAGCGCCTTCATAACGGCACTTAAAAGGGCCCTAAGCTTCGACCTGTTCTGCGACAACGTCGCTAGCTTTGTAGGCGCTTCACGAGAAATTTCAAATTTCATTTTATCCCACCCTGCTCACCTCACTTGAGAGGGTTATGGGAGAGCGCGGTGTAGGTTGCAAAGTAGCTGCTTGTCAAGTACGAAAACAGCACGGCCCTCAACTGCGAAGATCTCTTAACAGAAGTTATGCAGGTATCCTTTATCATCGGACGCGAATGACTTAGAAGCACTAACTTCAGGCCGCTTTTTGGTTGGCCGCCCACTTAAAGCGCAAGTGAAACCATTTGACGAAGAAGATGTATATCTGTATGTCATGCAATTATTTTTTTATTATACCCTCAACCAATCAAAAAAGTGAAAAAGTGATATAATGTATTTGTGCAAATGTATGTATTATGTAGACAGAAATTTATCCCACCCCAGAAAGTATACATATTCTTTATCACTATCATAGACGAGTCGATTTTTCCAGCTTAATGATTCCATTTTTTAACGATATTATATAACCTTCTGTATTCTTTTTATGGATATAGATTATTAACCGATCAACACAGCCTCTAACTTCTCCCTGCTTCATTAGTATTTTTCAATAAAAATGTTCTCCCGTAATTTAACTAAATTATCCACGTCCATAAAAACTCCATTTAAAAAGAAATTTCATATGCATGTTTTTCCCAATCCAATTATCTAATGACTTTGGTGTCCGTCCGTTCATATGTATGAACTCAAAGATCACACAACCAATATGAGCTATAAATTGTCACTTAGGTTCTCCTAGTCACCGCACAGTAAGAGTTTGTTTCTGCAACTCGATAACTTGCACCGTTTCCAAGCCTTCGATATCAAAACCCTGTTCACTGAGAAAATCACGAAAATTTTCATAGCTAGAGTCACCATGCCGCTTTTCGGATGGTATATATATATAAAATATATTTCCTTTTATATTAAAAGGTATGGCTGTCGAGTAGAGGCGGTAGCAAGTAGTGCCATCGCCATGGATTGGAGTCCGATTTGAAGCTTTTTTTTTTTGTAATTTTTTGCTAAAGCAAACGAATCCAAAGCGCGAACTGCAATTGGTGTTAGTAAAAATGTGTCAGAGTATCTTCTAGTCGGAAACTCCCGACTACTGCCTCTTATGCTTGTAATTTACCTTTGCCCATGCAAAAAGTTAACATTTTTCTTGTGGTTTTAATGTATCGTTGCAATACCTAATAATTAGCTAGAAGCTGATTGTTTTATAAATATAGAGGGAATAATTGGTTAGATCTATTGTAAAGTCACATAACTGGCGTAGAGCTACGTTTTTAAAATGACTGATAGTCTTTTATTTTTAATCTTTGCTTTTATTAACAACACCCACTTCATAAATACAATATATTTATGTATAATATGTATACCTATGCCTTATAAAATGCACTATTTATTAAAAAATAAAAATTTTATAACGATTGTTACACGTTAAGCAAACTCATCAAATGGATTCTTTTATTGCAGATACAAAACTCGCGCAGAACTAGTACGAGTATCCGCTGCAGTAATGGGGATTGAATTTTCATATGCCGCGGAAACAGCTTTTGTGTCACCAACATTGCTTAAAATTGGCGTGGAGCATCAGCACATGACGTTGGTTTGGGCTCTTTCACCTCTAGTCGGATTTTTCCTGTGCCCTATTTTGGGGTCATTTTCAGATCGTTGCAAATTAAATATGGGACGACGGCGCCCGTTTATAATTATTTTGTCTATAGGTGTTTTTCTTGGTAATTCAAACTATAAAATTATATTTATAAAAACATAATTTTGTAATTCAATTTTTTAATTTTTTATAATCGTGTAGGGTTGATATTGGTGCCAAATGGGGAAACCTTGGGATATTGGTTCGGTGATGTAGACCCACATTTGCAGGCTGTTGCAATGAATACGACGTATAATATAACGTATAATTATTTAAATATTATACCTCATAAAACGACTGCGTCGAAGTCAGAGAGCGAAATCTATTCTAAGACATCACATCCTTGGGGTATTTTTTTTACCGTGCTAGGTACTGTGCTACTCGACTTTGATGCGGATGCCTGTCAAAGTCCGTCCAGGGCTTACCTATTGGATGTGTGCATCCCAGAAGATCATGCCAAGGGGCTATCTACATTCACTATTATGGCTGGCCTTGGAGGCTTTTTTGGTTATTCAATGGGTGCCTTAAACTGGGATGAAACCGAAATTGGTAAGTTCTCCACATTTTTAAAGATATAAAACTAAGAAATACGTACAGGTAGACGCTTAGGAGGACATGTCAAGGCAGTCTTCACTATTATTACATTTATTTTCATCGCCTGTGTAACATTTACGATAACCAGCTTTACTGAAATTCCGCTTTGGGCGCTTTCTTCCACTTTACGGAAAACAGAAAAACACCAGTTAGACAGCGCAACTGTAAATTATGGTACCATTAATAATGGTGATGAGAGTAAAATGGATGAAAATTATCTTGAGGTTAGTATCTTACTCCAATTTTAATATAATGAAATGCAAATATTTTAATGAAACGAGAAAAAGATGCTATCTTTGGCACGCCGAAGATATAATATCCTTGCAGACCTAACCTTTTCATAATGTTCATAGTACTTTGCCCATATCTAAGAAGCATATGAAGAATAGTAAATGCTGGGTTTGGTCAAAATAAGTTGATAAACAAAACAGGTTTTTAATCAAAAACCTACTTTTCGACCGCTGATATATGATATATGATATAGTAGATATAGATATATGATATAGTAGTCAGATGTAAATAAGATTTTGCGTAACATGAAGGGAGCACTGAGAAATCTTTAAATGCAGTGTTTAATCAAAATTTCTTGAATGACAAAAAAGTTTTCCATACAACAACATAATTTTCGACCGATCGTTCCTTTGCCAGCTATATGATATATTGCTCCGATCTTAATAGGATGCCTATATATGAGGCGTATAGTAAGACTAATAAATGCCGAGTTTGGTCAAGATATCTTGAAAAAACAAAATGTTTTTTGATACAACTTAATTTTTGTCCGATCGTTCCTTTTGACATACATATGTGCTGCGTGCAACAGAAAGAGGGACTTCTGCAAAGTTGCATAAAGATAGCTTTAAGATCCTATAAAGATCGGACCACTATATCATATATCTGTCATTGGAACGATCGGTCGAAAACTAGGTTTTTGATTAAAAACATTTTTTGTTTATCAAACAAGTGACCAAACTTGTTGACCAGGCCATGGCATTCAAATCAAAGGGTTCCGCACGGCGCACCAACATCGTATATTATGATGTCACATTTAATAGAATTTCATTACTTATGTCGCTTAGAATATATTGTTGTCTTTATTACGTACATTTAAGTAATTTATTTATTGAGTCTTTTTTTAACGTAATGTATTTAAATATGTACTAATTTACTTTAAGTAACGATCTGACACATAAGGCCTTAGCCTGTGACGTCACATGCGCAACAGACTGCTGCAATCTTTTTAAATTTATATATCTACTTCCCTTGGCTTGGCAGATACTTGCATGCAAATTTTCACCAAAATGTTTGAGATGAGACACACATGCCAACAACTATTTAGCGCGTCGAGGCATTGATACCCTTCTTTATAGAAATGGTATATAATTTGTAAAGAAAACAAACATTATTAACTGTACTAATGGTTGCGCCCCAAATAAGAAATTACATTTTTCTCAGAAATTAGTTAAAATGTGTATATAAGACGGTTACTGGTATTTGGTTACAGCACGCATGTATAGTTAAATTACCCTATTTTGAGAAAAGAGTGCCTTGCTGGTCGAAAAGGGAAAAATGCCGGGACGCTTGCAAGTTGAAAGCGAGTGGAGAAGATGAGAATATGACTTTGTGACTTTTTGAATAATAATGAGTTAGAAGGGTGCAGAAGCTAAGATCATAGGCTGTAGCCTCAAACAAAAAGGGATAGCTAGGAAAGAATTTGTGCTGTGATTTTTCATTGTCGACTAGTTTGTTTTCATTACTTTTGTTATTGGTTCTAATGGAAAACGTTCTGGGGTTTTCATTGAATTTTGGGCTTCGGCAGAAGTGACTGCCAACAGCCGGGTGTTGTGTTTGCAACCTCGGTATCGTGCATCAAGTATTTTGAGAAGGAGCTTTTGATTCAAATGCCTCCTCTGTCTGTTTATTACTTAATGGCTTATATTTAAGGAGCATAGAATTACGTAAGTAAAATCTGATGTGGCCAAGATATCGTGAAAATAAAACAAGTTTTAAAACAAAAAATTAAATTTCGGCCAATCATGCCAATGGCAGTAATGTTTGAGATATTGTAGTCTTTACCTATATGATGAACTTTTCTGTAGCAGCTTTATGATATGGTAGTGTTTCCGGCCTGTTCCAACATACATACTGACAATAACAGAGCTCGGAGGACAGAAAGATTTATTGGGATAGAAACACACAAATGGATATGATATTGATCGACAATATATGAGTTAGACGATGGCTATTTATTTATTATATTCTGCTGCTCCGGCTGTGTCAGCTCGAGATATATTAAAGACTAAATTGACATATGTATCTGTATGTGACTATTCCTAGCTAGCCCTACTCTTCTTCGCAACGATGGATGTCGACCAGCATAATGCTGATTATACGCTTCATGCAAGATATTATGCTTTTTCGATGGCCACTGGTAGCCTGGTGATCACTATTATATTGTATTATAAAGACTCAATTTATTTGCTTATTAACTACTTATCTTAACTTCTGCCCTTTCAGAACAGGGTCATCATAGGTGTTCAGATTCTTGATCGAATTTCTGTTTGGTTTTGCTAATTTCCACCAATAATCTCGTATTTACTTCATTATCTGACCTCATCTTCTCGATGGGACGTAGGTATCTTCGGCTTAAGCTTCTTAAATGTCAAGTGGCTGCTATGCAGCTGAGCTGGGACTTTTTTAAGGGAATTTTTAAAATTATGTACCCGGTGTCATGTATGTGTGTAACGCATATTGTATGTCTAATATGCTAACTGGTAGCTCGGTTGATAGTTGCAGTGTGACACGGATTCAGCCCGTAGCAGGTGTGGGCGCAGGTGTTGCCAATCTTTTATAAAGTTGCTTAAAGCGTTACTTTGTCCTTGCTTTTTTGTGTTTATAACTATTTTTTTATTGCGTTGTGGAGACACATACTTGTCCTTTGACATGTAGACATGGAGCATTAACTGTTTTGTTTTCACAGTATACCGTTTTTTATGGTAAAGCGTTGATTATCTGCAAGAGCGGCCCTTTAATGTCGGACATAGTATGTGATGCTATTTGCACAAGGTTTGCTGGTTTTAAAAAACGTTTGTGGAGTAGATAGTGGAGTAGATATATGGTAGATTGAACAAAGCCCCAACATATGATAGGACTGGTGTAGTGCCGAGCTCTATTCTGTTGGAATATCTGTTGCACTTGGGCTTTGCAGAAGGCCAACCTGTTCGAACGAAGGTTAACTTTAACAGAACACGTGTCTCGTCCAGTCCCATCTGCTTTCTGTTGAATTTCAATGGTTTACCTGTAGCCTCGATCACGTTGCTCGGGGAACATATTGCAACAAAAAAATTATTTTTTGTGAAAAAATTGAGACAACTTAGAAATGAGAGGTTGAATGCAACTGACTTTCAATTCGAGGATTATCAGCCAGCGTTTGTCGATAGGGACGTCAGATGTGACGACCCCCTTGAAATGGTGAAAAGAAAAGAAAGATTCCTCTTGGCGTCTCACTGCTCATGCGGCATACGAAATATGCAGATGCCATATGTTCGCATCATACAACACAGTGTTAAATTTCAACGCAATATTAGTTCATAATAATTCAAGTCATAATTCAGGAGTTAGGACTCTTAAGGCAAGGAGATCTCCCTCTCCTTCTAATTTCGATAATATCCAAGCGAAGCTAATGTTCCTTACCATCAAAATTATAATGACACAGGATGCTGTGTCCGCCGTTGTCTAGAACAAAAAATTCAGAGAAGAAAGCCCCTAAGAAACGTTGTCTACCCAGCGCAACCCCGCGGTCTGCCCATTCAGACCTTCGAGGGATAGGCTGAGATATGTTTTAATTTAGTTTTAATAAGTGAGCTCCAATAATGAATTTTCTTTTGCGCCCATGATCTTTCCATTCACACACATTTGTGTGTGCAAACGACAGGGACACAATCGCATAAATTATTTTATTCATATACAAAACATGAAAGTATACGTGTATAGCGAGTCCAAACTATTTTAAATGCACACATGCCAGCACTTAGGTACCCTTTCCAACGATAATGAGTTAAAATGCATGAATTTTGCAACGATGTGGCTAACCCTTTCCTTATTTCGAATTCCCTGTAGTTCTACTGGTGTCAAGTGGCGAGCTTATACCAACGATCTGATGCATCACCGTTCGTAAGGTAATTAGCCAACGAATGGTCATGCGGTGGCCCCCAGGAACAGATGACTACTTACGTGGTCGTTAGGAAATTCATTAGCGAATGGTTATGCAATGCGTGCCGATCGAAATGAAAATGTTATTACGAGGTCTATGCTACGTGTCAAAAATTTGATGAAGAACAAAAAAAAAAACCCGTTTCCTAGATTCTGCAGTGAAGAAGCAACAAAGTCAATGAGCGGCGCGCGCGTGTTTTGTTAATTGTGTAGTTTCCTTTTACTTGGTATTCTGCTTGCCACGAGGCAACTTTAAAACGTGTAATTTGTGAAGTAAAGCTATGAATTTTACTCAACTGGAAAACTTCAACACATAATTATCTTAATTATCTTAACATTCGTATTTTAGTAATCATTAACATGTAAGATTCTACTGTGATATAGCATTAAGTGTCCCACTGTAAATATAACTGTAATCACATCAAAGGCTTCGCTCAGAGAGCGAAACATTCGATGCTCTTACTCTCGCTCTGACACGAGCATAAGAAAAACGAAAACGATGGTGAAATAAAATGATCTGCGAGGGCATTCAAAAAAGTGACGCGCACAAGAACGATTGCATTTTATTTGCGTCAGGCCATTCCTACAAATTCAGAAGTGGTCACGGAGTTAAACTTACAAAATTATTCAAATATTATCAATTCAAACTTATCAATATAAGTTATTAAATAACTTGATTATGAAATCGCGAGTGAACATTGGCAATCTAAGCCTATCCGACCTAAAAATGTGGTGCGAAAAACTGGGTTTGCTAACTTGAGGCACCAAAGCTGCTTTATTAGCTCAACTGAATGCTGCATTACCGTCAGCCAGTGCTCCAAACCTCCATTTGGACATGCTAAACTCCAACAAAGAGCTGATCGATTTAACATCAAGCACCAGCAACAGCAACAACAGCTCTGGTGACGAAGAGGCCATAACGGCTTTTCCATTTCGGCAGAAATTGTTGACAACTCTACACAACATTGAAGTTGCCAATGCTGATCCAAACACTGATAGGGGCAGCACTGTGAAT